AGCACAGAAGGCCTCTGTGACCAACTGTGCACACCCTCAGAATACAGAACAAAATGCCTCTGTGACCAACTGTGCAGGGTTTATTTTCTCTTCACACCAACCAACTAGTTCCACAGCAGACACCAACATGTTCTCTAATATAATTCATTTCTGATACTAACTACCTGGAAGGGGTATAAGGCCCACATGTTGAAGGCACAATCTCTGGAACTGTTACTTCTGTCCTACTTCAGATGTTAGTCACTTGCCCCAGGTTGTTTTCACGTTTAGCTAGCTGGCAGACATGACTGACCATAAACCGAGGTTCCCACACTCCTTTCCTCGTGTTCAGTTAACTTGCTGGGGCAGATCACAGAATCGGGGAAACAGTTTTCTTACATTCGCAGGTTCATTATATTACCAAAGGTACAACTGAAAAATACATAGGGCAAAGCACATCTTACAAGAGGCTGTGCTTCCATACTTTATCCACCTATGCTACTCTGGAGAACCCTCCCCCATGTTCTACTATTTGGGAGCTCTACAAATTCTGTGCTATTGGGTTTTTGTGGAAGTGTCATTACATAATGATTGTTTAAATCATTGGCCATTGGTGAGCAATTTAACCTTCAGGACTCTATTTCTCCTCATTAGAGGTTGGCACATGAGACTGAATGTTCGAGCACTCTGCCTGGATGAGCAGTGCCAATCCTGAATCTGCCTAGCTTGTCTTGACTGTCACCAGCAACTCATTATCACCCAGAAAGGCATCACTTTGAAAATTCCAAGGACTTTAAAGTCATGCCTGGAGAGATGGCTGAGCAGATAAGAGTACTCATATTACAGAGTGCCTGAGTTTGACCAGCAACCCCACAGCAGCTAACAACCAGTTATAACTAGTTCCAGAGGATTTGATGCCCTTTTCTGACCTCTGCAAGCACTATATGTTTGTGATGCATAGATAGACAAGCAGACAAAACACCCAAACACATAAAATTAAAATCTTTAAAAAAAATAGTTGTATGCTATGAAATAAAGGGCAGTGACCACAGGTATATTTAATACTAGCAGGTGTGTATCTCTATCTCTATCTCTCTCTCTTTCCTCTTTTCCTTTTCTTTCTTTTGGGTTTTATTTTGTTTTTCAAGACAGGGTTTCTCTGTGTAGCCCTGGCTGTCCTGGAACGTGCTCTGTAGACCAGACATCCAGTCCATCTGCCTCTGCCTCCCAAGTTCTGGGATTAAAGGCATGCACCACCACCACCCACTAGAATATTTCATTCCACCCTTTTCAGTAGTCATAGACCTTGAAGGCCACAACTGTGAGTCCTGTGAACCTAAAACTAGCGTGGACCTTACATTTCTGATGTCTCACACAGTTGTCAAAGCACTATTTCATCTGTATGTTCACAATGTGCCTCCTGGCTGAGTGTGTGCCATGAGGGTCCAAAGCACTCATCACACCGTTCCTGTTCCTCACAGGTGCGCCTGACCCCACGGCGGGGGCCAGTATCGATGACGAGAACTGTTGGCACTTGGATGAAGAACAGGTGAAAGAACAAGTGAAGCTTTTTCTCTCCCAGGGGGGTTACTATGGCTCTGGAAAGCAGCTCAATTCAATGTTTTCCAAGGTAAGCCTTCTGGTGTACCTAGCTTACTTCACCTAGCTGTACTGAGTTCTTAAAACCTAGTAGGAGAGGATAAGCAGACCTCTCTTGATCAGGCTAGTCCATTGAACCCAACTACCTCCCTCTGGTAGTCTGTTCTTTCTGCTATACTCTCTGAAATGAGCTGGAGAACACAGCTGGAGACCTCTCTGCTGTGAACCCAAAGCTGCCTGATGAAGCTCCAGAGACTAGCGTTTCAACAGTGTTCCAGAACAGACTCTTGCCAGACAGGCTGGATTGGTTTTGTTGTTGTATTTTTTTCTCTCTCTCTTCTTGTTAGCACCTTTACTGGGATATAATATATATACTATATGGTTTACGCATATAATCAGTACAATTTTGGCTGGAGATGCAGGTCAGCAGTAGCATGTACAAGACTTGTGTACAGTTCAGTGGGTATTTATAGAAGGCTTTTTGTGGGGTTGGTATAGTCACAGATAGAATAGAGTCATCACCACAATTAACATTCTCATCACCTCAGAAAGAAACTTCATGCATTTACCTATTGATCAGAAGTGAGCTGCTTCAGAAATGGGTATTTGTCATTCCACGACATCAAATCTATGTAAAAACAATAAATTCACAAGCGATGTCAATTCTGTTGGTTTTGATTTACCAACTAGTCCTGATTTCACATTAGAGTCACAGGGTTTCTTTAATTCAAAATTTATTTGGGGGCGGGGAATCTTGTGATGACATGAATGTAGTGTTCATAGCATGACTATATAAAATCAGTTCTGTTTAGCCCCCTCTTCCTTGGTTTCAGGGATTGAACTCAGTCACCAGGCTTAAGGGCCAAGTATCTTTATGTGCTAAGCCATCTGGCTGACCCCGCAGTTTATTTTATTCCAACCTTAATTACTGATATTAATTTTAAGATCACACATTTTACATCATCCCAGTGTTATACATACACACTCTAGCATCCATCTGCTTATCTATCATCTACCTATCTATTATGTATATATGTATGTATGCATTCATGCATGCTTCTGCTGGGAGAAGCAGATGCTTTAACTCTTTAGGGATTGATACGAAAAGATTGAGCTACAGATGTCAGTGAGGCCTCTCTGAAGTCAAGATGAGAGAGCAGACCCATGCAAAGAGAGTCACCCAAGGGGGTTAGATAAATATTAACATAAGGAGATGGAAAGATGGTTCAGTTTGTAAACTGCACCTACAGTCAATCCACCTGCTGGTAAAACAGAAGGTGAAATGCTGGAACTCTGGAGTTCATTGGCCAGCTTAGCCTACTTAGCAGAGTTGCTGGCCAATGAGAGGCTATCTCAAACAGAAGATGAAGTACACCTAAGGAACAGCACTCAGGGTCATCCTCTAACTTCCACATAAACACACACACACACACACACACACACACATGTGCATGTACACGTACACATACGTGAAGATATTGACATGAAAGCCCAGTCACACAACTGTTCTGAGTTGCAGGGCAGGTTCCAAGTACAGAGCTGGTTCAAGATGAAGAGCCAGATTGGAAGAAAAGCAGTCTAAGCAGGCACTGTCAAGCAGAAGGACCACGCTGCTTATTACCTAGTCTCTCTGGGTCTGTGGACTGTAGCACAGTTATCCTTTATTTTATAGCTAATATCCACTTATGAGTGAGTACATTCCTTGTTTGTCTTTATCAGTCTGTGCTACCTCACTCAGGATGATTTTTTTTTCTAGTCAATCCATTTACCTTCAAATTTCCTGGTATCCTTGTTTTTCACAGCTGAGTAATACTCTATTGTGTAAATGTACCACGTTTTCTTTATCCATTCCTCAATAGAGGGGGTGTCCTTCCTTTTATATGACCAGGCAAGGAGACTGCATCATCTGTTGGTCTGTGTCCAATAAGTTCACAAACCTGCTTTTTTTGACATGGTTTTGATGCATTCCATGTGTTCTTGATTTGATTTGATAAGTTCATAGTGATAATATTTTTCATGAGTTGTGCTAGGCAGATGGTAGTTATTTACCTGCACAAACAAGAGGGGGAGCTCTTCTGCATTAGCCTTTGAACTGTAGCAAGGATCAAACTCTGTTTTATAAATGGAGCTAGTCAGGGCAACGCACAGCCTAAAGGTAATGTTTGACTTAGTGCAGAGTAACTGGAGCAGATAACAGCTCATCTCACACTAACACTCTCTCTTATCCTCCATATTTGCCTACCCACCCCCAGCTCTCAGTAACCTCTTGTCTACTTTCTGTCTATAACCATCTCTATTCTGGACTTTCAAATAATAAGAATGTGTGTGTGTGTGTGTGTGTATGTGTGTGTGTGTGTGTGTAGTGACTGACTTCTTTCACTTCTAAGCTTGCTGATTTAAAGGTTCATCTTTATAGTTAAGTAATAATCTGTTTTATTTACCCTTTGTCTGTTCATAGACACTTGGATTGCTTCTACCTTTTGACTACTCTGAAAAACGGTTGCTATTAACATTCTTGTACAAGTTCTACAGAGATGATTCTTCAAGGTTGCTGTCTCATTTTATAGTCCCACCAACAGTATGTGGGTTTGGATTTCTTTGCATCCAGGCCAGTACTGTTGTTGTCTTTTTATTCCAGCTGTCCTAGTGTGTTTAAAGAGGTATCTCATCATATGTAACAGGCTTTCTTGATACGTGTAGGAATTTCACTTACAGAGTTGAGAGACTTTCTTTCTGTCTCTTACAGTATGCAACTACATCATCTTCTCAACCTGTTCTCCATCCCTCACCTTCTCTCTTTCTGTGCTCTGCAGTTACCAATTACTTGCCCCTCCTTATATGTCAGGTCCGAGAGATGCTTCGGATGAGAGATTCCAATGGAGCCAGGATGCTGACACTTATAACTGAGCAATTCATGGCTGATCCCCGCCTCACACTCTGGAGGCAGCAAGGAACAAGCATGACAGACAAGTGCAGGCAGCTCTGGGATGAGCTGGGTAAGTCCCTATCCCTCACAAGTCCTATATCCTATCAGTCTACCCTCTGAGATCTCCCTTACAGAGCATTTACTGTGAGTTTTGTGGGGGTCTTGCTATTCTCACTCAGGACAGGTTCAGCAGACCCTTCCTGATCTCACTGTGCTTTCCTGTTAAGGATTCTATTTCGTGTTACCCACATAGAAGCCATCGTTTCACTCGGTTTCAGTTGCATGGGACGACCTGGCTCTCAAATCTTTAGCTCAGGTTCTGGGGACATAGCTCAGCGAGTAGAATGCTTTCCTAGCATGTATGAGACCCAAAGTTCAACTGGCACTGCATAAAGTAGGCGTGCTAGCACACACCTGTAGTCTCAGCACCTGGCAGGAGGAGAAAGGAGACCCTGGAGTTCAGGATCACCGTAGTTCCTTGGTGAACCCCAACACCACAACGAACCCTTAGGCTCACTTTTGTTGCTTTCTCCAAGCCTGCTCTCTGGGGTATGCCTAGCCAGACCACTCAGGTGTGAGGAGCTCTCTTTTTCTATACTCATTAAGAGCTTCATGGAAAACCAGGTATTTTAGTCCCTAAACTAGCCTCTGCACTTTAAGGCCATTCTGGTCTACATATAAAGTTCTAGCCCAGCCAGGACTGTATGGTCAGAACTTATCTCAAAAAGTAAAAAATAAATATAAACAAGCATAATTTAAAATTCCTTTAAAAAATAAGAATTGAACCTCTATAAGTAAACTTTCATGAGGCTAGGTGGCCTTTGAAACATTCCTATTTAGGAAAAGCATTCTATTTTACTTTAGAGGCTATGAAGTCTGGGGCTGGAGACATATGGCTCAGTGGTTAAGAACATGTATTATTTTTGTGAGGACCTGAGTTCAGTTTTCAGCACCCATGTCAAGCAGCTCATAACTGCCTATGACTCCAGCTCCAAGGGGATGGATGCCTCTAACCTCACACACAAACACAGACATATACACATGCATGCATAAACAAATAATAATAAAAATATCTTTTAGAAAAAGACTGTAAGTTAAGAAGCATTAAGTAACTGGGTATGGTAGCTCTAATTCCAGCATGTGGAAGCATAAGTCGGGGGAGGTGAGTTCAAGGTCAACTAGTCTGAGCAATTTAATTTAGCAAGACACTGCTGGGGGAAAATTACTTCATTTCTGCTTGTTACTAGCTGGAAACTGAGAAAATACCTGGCACCGCAGCATAGCCAATCCTGACCTGAGAATAACAGGTCTTTCCTTGGAAAGGAGAGCGAAGTGTTCAAAGAAATAGTACCCATCATTCTTTGGAATATATGATGTTCTCCACAGTGACAGAAAAGAACTGAAAAAAAAAGTAGTGTTTTAAGACATCACTAATTTGATCAGCAGTTCTAAAATCCAAGTCCAAAGTAAATCATTTTTCTTTGAAAAAAGAAATACGAAGATTTGTTCTGTAATAATGTATCAGACTAGATCTTTTATAAATTTTATTTCATGCAATTCTCCTACTATCCCAATAAAATAGGTATTTTATGGTCTTAGTTTAATAACTGAGGAACTTAGAGGCCAAAAAAATTCAACTACCCAAAATATGAAACTTTTCTGAACACCTCTCTTCCAACCTTGACCTTGTGTTAAGTGCCTTTTTCTATGTGCTATTATACCCTGAATACATCGTGTGTGTGCGTGTGTGTGTGTGTGTGTGTGTGCGCGTGCGTGTGTGTGCGCGCACGCGTGCAAGTGTGTATGGCATACATGAAAAGGCCAGAGGACAACCTGTTGGTCCTTAGGCACCTTCCACTTATTTGAGGTAGGGTCTCTTATTGGTCTGGAACTTTGTCACACAGGCCAGTCTAGCTGACTCTCAAGCTTCCGGAGACCCTCCTGTCTCCACCTCGAATCTCACTATGGCAATATTTGGATTTCAGGCACATGCTACTGCATCTAGCTTTTATGTGGGCCCTGGAGATCTGAACATTTGGAAGGCAAGCACTTTAGCCACTGAGTTATCTCCCTAGCCTTATACCCTGAACATATCGTAATTTAGCGCGTTATAGTCACATGGCATTATGCTTGTTTATCCATCTCTCCTCCACACAGCTCCTAAAGACAGGGTCTTATTTACCCGTTGTTGGGTTACTTTTACATTGCTGTGGCCACACTATCAGATAAAAACTTAAGACTCATTTGGCTTAGAGTTTCCCAAGTTTTAGTCCCTCAACTAATTCTGAAAATCTTAATAATTATATTCATATTTATATCTAATATATATGTGTGTGTATATGTATGTATGTAAATTTTTGACATGTATGAGAGAGAAGAAATTGATGGGTTATTTGCTTTTTGCTTTGGGCGCATTTGGGCTGTTTGGGTGCCGAGAACTGAAGCACAGGCACGCGTGTTACTCCCAGATACTAAGAATGTAGACTGCTCTGTTTTTTAGGGGCCTTATGGGTGTGCATTATTTTAAACCCACACTGCAAACTGGAAGAAAAATCCTGTTGGCTACAGCAACTACAGAAGTGGAACGACCTGGATATCTGTCCCCTGGAAGATGGAAACTATGGGCATGAATTGCCCAACATTACCAATGCACTTTCCCAGAGTGCCAGCCACAGCCCAGGTGAGCCAAGTACCTTTGTGTTTAGAACTTCAGTAGCTGGGAGGACAAAACACCAGAACAATGGTGACCAGGCAACTGCCTTCTTCTTCCTCCTACTCCTTCTTTTTGTTTTTTTTTCCTATCAAAATTATCATCTTAAATAAGAAAAGCTTTTCTTTTTATTCATCTCAACATACTAAATCTTAAATAAGTGTAAGTGTTTGTCTTTTACCTGAGGCTGTTCTCTTTTTCCACATTAAGGGTGTCTGCAGTGCCCAGCATGAAGTCCTCATGCTCTCTGCCTGACTCTCCTCTAACCTGCAGGAGCTCTATGTTCAGTTTGGGTTCGTTTGTAAAGTTCAGAAAACCTGCTTTAAAAGAGAGACAGAAGGGGGCTGGAGAGATGGCTCAGAGATTAAGGGCAATGACTGCTTTTCCAGAGGTCCTGAGTTCAATTCCCGGCAACCACATGGTGGCTCACAACCATCTGTAATGAGATCTGATGCCCTCTTCTGGTGTGCAGGAAAACATGTTGTATATAACCAATAAATAACACTTAGAGAGAGAGAGAGAGAGAGAGAGAGAGAGAAGCCTACCAAAAACTAAACAAAACAAAAGTTGTAAAGATTGTCCTAAGGCCAGTGATATGTCTCAGTCCTGAATTCCCGGCATCCTGGAGGTAGAGGCAAGCGGAAGGATCTCTGTGTGTAGTGTCCTTACCAGTCCTTTCTTACTCTTGTTTCTCCCTGTTTTCCTCAAATTTTTATAAAGTACATTTTTATAAGAACATCTTATCGCTGTACTCATGAGACAGAGGGAGCCTGATCCACGGAGTGAGTTCCAGGACAGCCAGGGCTACACAGAGAAACCCTGTCTCAAAAACAAAAAACAAATACATTCTCCCAAGTTATTAACAAGATTCCTGCCCCATTCTAAGGCAAAACTAGTAAAGTAGTATTATGTACTATGTATACCCTCTGTCTTTTGAGCCCACTATTCTATGGGTGTAACTTAATAGCAAACATCTACATCCACATTATTCCTTCTAAATCAGGCCTTTTAATGTTGACCACTTGTTCATCAAGTCTTATTGGTAGGTCATTTTGTCAGACATTGATCTTACATATGTTCTCTTTTCTTAAGTAATAGCTGTCGTCATTTTTCAGCCTCAAGGTAGAAATCACTTAAGTAATTGTTTTTGTTTGGCTATTTTCTACTGTACTGTAATTAGTTGTCAGTGTACTTAAGATGTTAATGAGCCAAGAAGAAACTATAATCTTGTCACTTCATTAAGCTACCCATTCCTGGCACTCATCTAACCTACACGACACCGGAAGTCATCGCTGGCATAGAGGATCAAATATATACAAACACACTTCCCACTCTGGAATTTCTCATTTGTGTTGGTTCTTCTTGTTACCTAATTCTTTTCCACACACAGCCCAATCTTTGTTGTTGCTGAATTGTTTTGTTTGAGAAGACCTCATTTTAGGAGGCCTGAAGAGACAACTCAGCACTGATTGCTCTTCCAGAGGTCCTAAGCTCAATTTCCAGTAACTACATGATGTCTCACAACCATTTATAATAGGATCTGATGCCTTCTGTAAATAGAGCACTCATATACATAAATAAACCAGGTAGTGGTGGTGCACGCCTTTAATCCCAGCACTTGGGAGGCAGAGGCTGGGGAGACAGACCAGCCTGTCTACAGAGTAAATTCCAGGACAGTCAGGGCTACCCACAGAAATCCTGTCTCGAAAAACCAAAAATAATTAAAAAAAAAAAAAAGGTCAAAGAGTTACTACTGTCTCTGTCCATCTATTCTGCCTCTCTTTTGTGTTTGTACTTCTAAATCCAGACAGTTCTCTCTCTTCCTCTCTCTCTCTGTCTCTCCCCCCTCCCTTCTCTCTCTCTCTGTTTCTTGGCTTTTCTAGACAGGGCTTCTCTTTGTAGCCCTGGCTGGCCTTGAATTCATAGAAATCTGCCTGCCTCTGCCTCCTGAGTGCTGGGATTAGTGCTTTACCACCACCTGGCCCAAACCCTTCCTTCTCTTATTCCCTAGATCTTATTCCTTTTCCTTTATCTAAGATACTGCTTTAGTGATGATCTCCCATCTCTTCTACACCTAAACTTTTCCCCACTCCATGAGTTATACAAGCCCACTGTTATGTGAGTCCATCCTTAAACAAAACAAAGCAAAGCAAAAAACACTCTTAGAACTCCACATACCTTTCTGGCTGTCTTTCTCTGAGCTATAAGAGTTAGGAAACAATTCAGAGCTGAGTGTAGAGTGCATGCCTATAATTTCAGCCTGAGAATGTGGGAGCAAGGAAGATAAATTCAAGGCCAGTTTGGACTACATAAGCTAGACCCTGCCTCAAAATTTAAAAAAAAGAAAAAAAAGTTTTTTGTTTGTTTCTTTGTTGAGACAGGGTTTTCTCTGTGTTTCCTTGTAACAGCTCTGGCTGTCCTGGAACTCGCTTTGTAGACCAGGCTGTCCTTGAATTTACTGAGATCTGCATGCCTCTGCCTCCCAAGTGTTGGGATTAAAGGTGTGTGCTACCACCACCTGGCAAAAAAAAAAAGAGGTTTTTTTTAAACTAAAAGAAAAATTATTTGAGAAGGTGTGTGTGTGTGTGTATATGTGTGTATGTGTGTATCAAAAATCATTTATGTTTACTTCTGCTCTTTGATTCTCCTTTGAGTACACCCTAGTCAGGTTTTCAGCCCACCCTGTACTAAGAACAGCTCTATGCTCTGTACTGGTCTACCTGCATGCCACTATGTTCCTGTCATAGGAACTAATCCTCTGAAATAGTAAGACAGCCACAATTAAATGTTTTCCTTCATAAGAGTTGCCATGGTTGTGGTGTCTCTTCACCGAAGTAAAACTCTAAGACAATGGACAAGCCTTTATCTCAGAACATAACCAAAATCCAAGTACTTATCATCTCTACTGTTTATTACTCAGACCTCCTACCATTGTCTTTGATAAACGGTTACAAGTGGCTGCCTCGCAGCTTGCTCATTCCATCCAACTAGTCTGGCCTCCTTGCTGTTTTCAAACGTTCCCCAAATACATCCCTACCTCAGGACTTAGTGCTTGCTGTTCTTCCCACCTGGAATGTGGCTTCCTCTTACGTCCTGTGGATCTGCATTCAAATGCACTCCCCCACACACCTCCTCTCTCCCTCCCTCTCCCAGACAGTCTAACTGCATTCCTGGCTCAAGTGATCTCCTTCCCTAGCTGGGAGTGTAGGCATGTGCCACCTCACAAAACTGTTCAATTGTTATCTTTTGTGAGGCTTATTTTAGCTTTGGATTGTTATTCCTTTCGTTTTCCAGAAGAGTTGTTTAATTTTTTGAGATGAGGTCTTGCTATATATAGGCTTGGCTGGCCTGGAACTCACTATGTAGTCCAGGCTGATATGTGCCTCTCGTGATATTTTGTTTGTTATCTAACAAATAAAACTTGCCTGAAGATCTGAGTGAGTGCAAAGATAAGCCACTAGTTAGCCATAGAGGGCAGGCAGTGGTGGCACACATCTTTAATCCCAGCACTCAGGAGGCAGAAGCAGATGAATCTCTGTTAGTTCAAGGCCAGCCTGGGCTACATGAAGATTGAATCTGTCTAAAAAAGAAATATATTTTCAACTGTCATTAATCAGGCAAAGTAGCAATTGAATTATAGCTTGTGTTTTTTTCTTAAAGCATATTGGATAATTTTATTTTTATTTACTATTTCATGTTTATGAGTGTTTTGCCAGAAGAGGCTGTCAGATCCCCTGGAACTGGAATGACTGATGGTTGTGAGCCACCCTGTGGGTGCTGGGAATTTAACACCAGTCCTCTGGAAAAGCAGCCGGTGCTCTTAACCACTGAGCCATCTCTGCAGCCTGTGTTTTTTTTATTTTTTACATGTCATATCAATAAGTCTACATAAATCCTTAGTTTATAAAGTAGATCTTTCATAATGTTCACTCATGTTCCATTCTTTAAACCCGAGTTTATGGGGATGGAGAGCTGGCTCGGCAGTTAAGAGTACTTGCTGCTCTTGCAGAGGACCTGGGATTGAGTTCCCAACCCTCACACCATGCGGCTCATAACTGCGTATATCTCCAGTTCCAAGAAGTCTGGCATCCCTTTCTGACCTAAGTGTATGGTGTACATACACTCAAATACACACACACACACACACACACACACACACACACGCGCGCCCGCCCGCCCGCGCCCCCGGCCGGCGGGGAGGGGGAGGGAGGAAGAGAGAGAAACAAACTTTTTTATAAAATTGAGTTTGTAAAGTTGAGTATGCCTATAATCCCAGCACTTGAGAGTTGAGAGGTAGAAGTAAGGGGAAATAGAGGCAGAAGAATCAAATTCATGGCCAGCCTCAGTTACATAACAAATCAAAATCCTATCTCAGCCTTCCCACACATTCCCAAATAGTTGAGCTTATGGAAGAGAGTTACAGTCTGTTTGAGAAGATTCAGCTAACCTATGTGGGAGAATAGCAAAGACTGATAATAGCTAAGCAAAAGATCAGACAGTGAACATTTGGATTCCAGATAAAGAGCCAGGCTGTTCCCTACAAGGGTCTTTAACTCTCTGGGCCTCCGTTCCTCATTTGCAAAATGTGGGGACTACTGTACTGTGGGAATAGACAAAATGAAACGGGCAAAGTGCAAGCTGTGTTGAGAGCAGACTAACTTTGGGACAGACTCAGTATTATTAGACGATATAAAATAGGAGAGAGAAGGACAAGCCGATACAGACAGGGACTGTCATGATTTGAGCTTACGTTGTGTTACTTTCCCTGCAGCCTTTTCCTGAAGGGAGGTGGCTTGGTCAGCTTTCCAGGAGAAAGTTTTGTCAATGTCAGCTTTTCCTGGAGAGAACAAACTGTAAGCTGACGGCACAGACATAAAGGTCCCAAATGCAGGCAGCTTTGCGTCTTCCTCGGCCTTTATTAGTTTTATGTGTAAATATTTATTTGTTTTTGATTTTTAGGGCACCTGAGGCAGGGGGTATTTTGTTGTTGTTGTTGTTGTTGTTAAAACAGTGTGACATCACCCAAGCTAACCTCAAACTTGTGAGCTTCCTGTGTTGGGCTCCTGAGTAGTTTTCCAGTTTCTGGCATGAATATCACAGAAGCCCTTGGTGTGTGGTAAGGGCCATGCTGCAAATGGAACAAGTTACGATTAGTTAGGGCATTATCTCGCTGCCTCTTTCTTTCTCTGATGCTATGGAAACAGCTTATATCCTGACTAGGGGGCTGATCACAAATGTTCCTTCAAGCTTCATGTGGCTCTGAGTCCCAGTAGAAGGCTGTTCAAAGAGGAAGGAATTCACAGACCTCTATATAAGGGTTTTTTGATAGAGGACATAGATGTACAAAAGGCTTATTTAAGGAGACAACACAAATGTTCAGACTGACAGAATGTCCAAATAGACAGGATGTCCAGACTGTTCTTCTGGCCAACCTCCCTCCTAAAGAAGACCGGGTGTTATATTATTCAGCCTTTCTTTTTCCTCCCCCAGACTCTTTATCCAGACCAAGACGAACAGTCTTCACTAGAGCCATTGAGGGCCGTGAATTGCACTGGCAGGACAGCCACCTGCAGCGAATAATCAGCAGTGATATCTATGCTGCGCCAGCCTGCCAGCGGGAAAACGAGCGACTACTTTTTAATTCCCACGGCCAGCCACTGTGGCTTGGTAAGTCTAGCCTCCTGTGCTCCAAGAATTTCAGGTCCCAATCCCACCAGTACCAGGTTCATGTGAGCCAGCAGTCTAGGTTCCAGCCACACTAGTTACAACTTAGAGTCTTTTGAAGCGTTTACTGCCAACCCTGGTCATTTATTTGAGGCCTGCTTCATTTGTATGTTTGCTCAAGTGAGGTATGGCAATCTCAGGTAGAAATTTGTATCCTTTCTCTAAGCCTTGGAAGAAGATAAAGCAGTTGATACTTATTGAAGAGCAATAACGAAGCCACTAGATATCAGTTCACACACTTGCAGTCACCTGTTACTGAGCAACATTATATCCTGCTCTGAATTTATATGTTTTGCTTAAAAATCACTATGGGTACTGAGGAGGTAGCAGGTCAGTAAGCATCAGAGTTTGATCCCCAGAGCCCATATAAAATAATCCAGGCATTGTAGTGTGTACTTACTGTCCCAGTACTGGGAAGGCAGAGACAGCACATCCCCAAAGCTTGCTAGCCAGGCTAGCCTAGTGTTAGTAGCCAGGTACAGGCCAGTGAAAGACCTTGTCTTTAAAAAAAATAGTCAGCACTGGCTGGTGGTGGCATACGCCTTTAATCCCAGCTCTCGGAAGGCAGAGGCAGGAGGATCTTTGCCAGTCTGATCTACAGAGCAAGTTCCAGGACAGCCTTCAAAGCTACACAAAGAAACCCTGTCTCAAGAAAAAAAATTTAAAAATTAAAAAAAATCAACAAAAAGAAACCTTGTCTCAAACCCACCACCACCACCACCACCCCCCAAAAAAAATATATAGCAAAATGGCTCTGTGAGTAAAAATGTTTGCTGCACAAACTGATGACCTGAGTTTGATTGCTGGAACCTATAGTGGAAAGAGAGAACCCACTCCTGAAATTTATCCTTTGATCTCCACATGCAGTCTGTGGCATACACATGCCTGCACTCACATTCACAATAATAACAAAGAACATGTAAAAATTTTAAGAGATGGATAATGCCAGAGGAGTAACACCCAAGATTGTCCTCTGGACTCCACATATATGAGCATACATGTGCACACACATGAGCACACACACATAAAAAATAATATTGTGTTTGAAACCAGTTACTCTGTACAGGTAATGTAGATGAAGTCTGTTCATCACCAGGCTGTCTTCCTTTTCTCTGTCTCGTCTTCCTAGCATCCTTTATAATAAGATAGAGCTGTTTCATCCAGTTTAAACTTTTGCAATAGTTGTCTGGTTTACAGTCAGTTTGTCTTTAATTTTATTAGAGAACACTTATTCTAAAATACAACTTAGGAGCCTGGTGTGGTGATACATATCTTAACCTCAGAATTTAGAAGGCAGAGGCAGGTGGATCTCTGTGAGTTTAGTGAAAGCATGGTCTATGTAGCAAGTTCTAGATCAGTTAGGGTTACACTCTAGATCAGTTAGAGTGAAACTCTGTTTCAAAACTCAGCTAGCTGGATGGATGGATGGATAGATGGATAGATGGATGGATAGACAGACAGACAGACAGACAGATCAAGCAAGCAAGTAAGCAGGCAGGCTAAGGGGTTCATTACAGTACAGAAATAAATGATGTACAGATGGGAATTGGGAACTACTTCTTTGTCCAATTTGATTAACCAGTAGATGAACACAGTCAGTGAAATGACATGTATTTATATTGAATGTTATATAAGCATATTTAATGCCATGGAAAAATATTTATGATGTACTATTAAGTTGCAAAACAATAATTATACCAAATTTGGTTTAAAAATGGAAAAATCTGGATAAATATACATGAAACTGTAAAGAGTAGTTATCTTATTTTTATTTTGTATTTTTGCTTATTTATATCTTTAAATGTGCACTGTTTTATGTGTGTGCATGTACATGTGTGTGTTTATGTATTCAGATGTGTAGATGTGCATGTAAAGGACAGAAGTAGACATCAGGCATCTTCCTCAATCTCTTTCCACCATATATTTTGAGAGAACTTACCAATTCAGTTAAACTGGCTAGCCAACAAGCCCAGTGATCTTCCTGCTTCCACTTCCCAGTCCCAGTTATTTGTATAATGTTTAATTTTAATTCTAGCGTAAATGATAAAGTAAAATGAAAGACTTGCTAGGATCATTCCCCTACTTTAAGAAGTTAATAATGCTGGGTGTGATGATGCGCACTTTTAATCCTAGCCCTCAGGAAGCAGAGGCAGGCAGATCTCTCCGAGTTCAAGGCCAGCCTTGTCTAGGGAGGGAGTTCCAGTAAGCCAGAGCCACACAGAGAAACCCTGTCTCAAAAAAAAGAAAGGAAGGAAGGAAGGAAGGAAGGAAGGAAGGAAGGAAGGAAGGAAGGAAGGAAGGAAGGAGGGAAGGAAGAAAGAGAAGTTAATAGTTACTGAGCATGGTGGCACTCTCAGGAGTCAGAGGCCAGCAGATCTCTGTTCTACCTTTCCAGGTATTTCTAGCCACATATATAAATTTCATATTCTTGAAGATAAAAACACAGTTCCTGTAATAAAGTGATGCCAAGTTGAATCTGAAAAACTAGACTGAACATAGACTCCCTTTGTCTGTCAAACATGGACTTTCCTGATTTGAACTCAACCGAAATGTTTTCTTTCTGTCTGGTAGAGCATGTGCCTACAGCCTGTGCTCGAGTTGATGCGCTGCGATCTCATGGGTATCCAAAAGAGGCTCTCAGACTCACGGTGGCCATCATTAATACTCTGAGGTTGCAGCAGCAGCGGCAACTAGAGATCTACAAACACCAGAAGAAAGGTATAGTGATTAGGAATTCTTTAACATCTTGGGATCTGAGGGTGGTAAGGATCTCGGGAGATAAAACGACCCAGAACCTAATTTTCAACCAGGACTATGGGCTTGAGAATTCTAAGTAATTTACCTGCAACGTGGCAAGCCTCACGCTATTCCTGTGAATCTCAGCTTTATTGTTTGTAAAATAGGGACAATGATGTCTGCCTTTCACAGGGCAGGTGGAAGGCCCATTCAGACTGGAGAAGATGTTTTTGAAACTATAAAGCTATCTCCATGTATACACTGCCAGAAGACAGTCTAAATTAGAGCTGACTGGTGAGCTTGTAATCAGGCCAATCAAGCAAAAGCATGACAATAAGGGGAGCTTTTCTTTGACTTTCTGGTCAAGGCTTGAATGATACTGATTAGGAAACCAAAGCAGAAGAAAAGCACAATTCCCATGTCTGTCTGTCTAACACTTGGAACCTGCTTATTTCCAGAACTGCTGCAGAGAGGAACCACAACAATCACAAACCTGGAGGGTTGGGTGGGCCATCCCCTGGATCCCATTGGCTGCCTGTTTCTCACTTTGACTGAAGCCTGCCGCCTGAATGATGACAGCTACATGGAAATGTCAGGTACAGGAGTCAGCCTGAGACAAGCAGGACTGCCCAGGGCAGCCTTCTCTCTGCCAAACTCTGGGGTCTGGCCATGCGTGTCCTGCTTTCCGCCTTTACCTTACTAGCTTCCTTAGGGGAAAAAGAAGGGCCAGAGAAATTTAAGGAATCAGAGGCCAAAGTCAGAGCAGTCTGGAAATGGAATAGAACTTCCAGCAATATCAAGCTGTTCATGGCGGCACCACCTATAGTCCCAGCTACTCAGGAGGCTAAGTCAGTCTCAGAGCTAACCTGGGTCATGTCATTTAAAAAAACAAAAAACAAAAAACAGGTATAGTGGCTCAGGCCTATAATCTCAGCACTCAGGAGGCTGAAGCAAGAGGATTACAATAGAAAAAAGCAGCCTGGACCACACAGTGTAAGATACACACACACCTCAAAAAACAACAAAGTATCCATCTTTGAAATCATATAATACCATTAGCAGGATCTTGTTCTAGTTTCTCCTTGGTTCCCCAATCCTCATGGTCTCTGTTGAAAGAATTTAGACAGGACTAAGCATGGTGGCACACACTCCCAGCCCTCAGGAGGCAAAGGCAGGAGGCTAAAGTGGGCTACATATATCAAGTTCCAGGCCATCCAAGGCTACATAGTGAGACCCTGTCACAAAAGCAAGCAAATTTAAAAAAAAATAGATAAGACACATAAAGTGTAGTATAGAAGATCATTGGACTCTCTTACAGGTAAAGTGGTCCACTCTCAAAGGGAGAGTGGACAGTGGCTAGAGGGCCCATTGCACAGCAGAACACCCTCAGAGAGGGAACAATGACTAGAAAGAGCTACAATTTTAGGTAGGCTTTATACCACTTCTAAAACTGCTACGTGTAAACAGACTGTGCCTTCGCTTCCCAGCCGCCCAGACGGGAATGATCACACAGAAACTACATTAATTACAACACTGCTTGGCCAGTAGCTTAGGCATATTCCTAGCTAGCTCTTACATCTTAAATTAACCTATTTCTACTACTCTGTCTATTACCACAAGGCTGTAACCTACCAGTAAGGTTCCGGCATCCCATCCTTCTCCTTCGGCAGCTACTCCATGTAGGAGTCTCTCTGACTCTGTCTACTCTCTATATATTTATCTCTGCTTGGATTCCCCACCTGACTTTAGTCTGCTAAGCCATTGGCCAAAACAGATTTATTCATTCACCAATAAAAGTAACACATATACAGAAGGACAACCCACATCAGCTCCGTATTGAGGGCATCTTCCTATCCAGGTGTTTAGAAAAAAGGCAATGCTAACTCTTTATTCTTCAACAGAAAGCCTACAGCTAAATAGCAATTTTTCTCCTGCAGAATAAAATGTCATTTCCCCACTGAGGGCCAGGGATAAGACTCAGATCACCCCCTCACAACTCTTCTTTTTTTTTTTTTAAAGGGCATCGGTTGCCCCTAGAACTAGAGTAACAAGTGGTTATGAGCCATTTGACATGAGTGCTAGGATATGAAGTTACCTCCTCTGGAAAAGCAGGGAAAGCTCCTAAGTGCTAGGTCATCTCTCCAGTCCCAGATCCAGTTCTTTTGACTAGTAATCAAAATCCTGAAGTTTCAGACCCTCATTTTATAGCAGCTGATTATGAAGGAGTCATCCCCAGTGATCTCTAATCCTGCCAACATCTAACTAGCTGCATAGCAATACTCTGATTTTTTTTTGACACTTTCCCTCCTGATGGCTTTGTACCCGTTTTCCCAGTGTAGGGAAGAATAGCCTAACTGACCCACAATAGCTAGGCTAGCTCACAATTGCTTCTTCTTTCTTTTGTGCTATCACTGTGTTCATTCACATTTACTTCAATATTAATCCACTGCATTACAGTGTCTACAAACATCCTTACCACACTCTTAGCTGCTTGCAAGCAGAAATTATGACTAATCTTCCTGTGATCCAGCATTACATTCCACTTACTTGTCTTCAAAGCTACTTAATAGAAAAAAGGGGGGAAGAAGAAAATCAAGATCTTTTTGTTTATTTATTTTGTTTTTGAGATTATAATTATATCAGTTTTGCCTTCCCTTTCTTCCCTCCACAGTCTCCCATATTCTCCATTTTATCCCCCATGCTGGTTCTGAACTCATGCCCTCAAGCCGTCATCTCACCAGTGTCCTGAGAAGCTAAAACTAAAGTATATGCCATATAGCCAACTAAGACGCTGGCTCTTAAACCAGTGCTCACTTCCTGAAACTTTGAGTGGAGCATTTAAAATCATAATATATAAGATGCAAGTGTTACCAAAGTAAGAGTTAAACTGGATGGAGTCAGGTGTCTCTAGGTAGAGATGTAAGAGTAAACCGAAGCTAAGCTAGGGCAGGCCCTGATTGCCCTTCTAATTTCCTGCATAGGGAGTTCGCATCTTTAGTCACCTTCATCCACACAGTGGCATTTATAGCTTAAAAATCCTGAAGTTGCACTTGGTTTGTTTACCACTGACATACACTGCCCTTCCGGTGTCAGCCCTAGAGAAACATAGGACAATGAAAAGGTCTCATTCCTTTAAAGTGCTCACACTGATGTAACAAAAACAGACACAAAAACAATTATGAGATTATATAGTGCACTGGCAAAAGATAAGACTTTATGCTTCCCTGACTAGCCTAGCCAATTCATGTGTTAATGTAGGAATCTTTGTGATTCTTTTTGTGAATCTTTTTTCAGTGTATTTTTCTTACTGCTTTGAGGTTCTGACTTAGCTTTATGATAACTATTAAGCAACTGTTATCCCAAAGTGGAATGGGTAGACACACTGAAGAACCCAGTAGACCTGTCCTAAGAACCTGTATGCCTGTTGCCCTCAGATATGAATGAAAGCAGACTACCTGTGTACCAGCATGTACCTGTGGCTTCAGGCTGCCCAGACAGCAATGAGTCATACCTGGCATTGGCTCTGGAAGTTGCTCTGATGGGCATGGGTCAACAGAGGGTAATGCCTGAAGGCCTCTATGCACAGGACAAGGTGTGCCGTAATGAGGAGCAACTCCTAAGCCAACTCCAGGAACTTCAGCTGGATGAGGAGCTAGTACAGACATTGCGGAAACAGTGTATCTTACTGCTGGAAGGTAAGAAGAAAAGGAGCTACAGTAACAAAACCTTTGACTGTGACTCTGGGCCCCGTTCTCTAACAAAGCACAGTTATGGAAATATTTATGACATTAAAGAATAATGAAGATTCTTATGTTTAGCAAACAAACTCAGATAGGTTCCTGGGCTCCTAAGTCTAGGTTGATATAAGTATACAAAAATAAATAAGTAAACTGGGTGGTAACAGCCCACACCTTTAATTCCAGCACTTGGGAGGCAGAGGCAGGTGGACCTCTTGAGTTTGAGGCCAACCTGGTCTACAGAGCAAGTTCCACAACTACCAGGGCTACACAAAGAAACTCTATCTTGAAAAACCAAAAATAAATAAACAAGTAAATAATAGTTGACTGACTCATCTTCTTCCTTCAGGAGGCCCCTTCAGCGGTCTAGGAGAAGTTATCCACCGGGAGAGTGTTCCTATGCACACCTTTGCAAAGTATTTGTTCTCCGCTCTGCTGCCTCATGATCCAGACCTGTCCTATAAGTTAGCCTTACGAGCCATGAGGTGGGTGGCCCATGTCCAGCCTGTTAGTCTCCACCAGTGCAGACCTGTTCAGTGCCCTCTCTCTTTGCTTATCCTACTTCCCTTTCCCTCTTCGTCTGTTCCCTGACACCAAGCCTTCCTTATAGCAGCTGAGGTCTGTCCATATGATTTAGGATCCAGGAGTCATTATTCATGAAATACTGCCCCTCTCCCCAAACTCACAGTAGATTGTCTGAGCAGGCCCCTGAGGTATTGGAGCCACTTGGGCAGCCTGAGGAGGGATTTAGGCCCTTCCATAACTCCTTTCAGTCGTGGGTCCAGGTATAAGTCTCCAGAAAGTGTGGGAGAAGCAGAGATAAGTATGTATACCCCAAGACCTAGAAACACTGCTCTGTGAGAATCTTGTTTTCAGCCTAGAGTAGGATCCTTGGTTTATGAGTATAGATTTCTGGGATGTAGCAGACCACACAGAGGAAGAATTTTAGTTAGGCCATAAGACTTAGAGAACTCCTTAGCTAAAAGGGAAATTCTTTGGCATATGTTTCTTATGCTCATCAAGATAGCACTATGGTACTCTACGTGCTGGTCAAATCTCTTCACAGTGAGAACTGCTCAGCTTGAGGTTTCCAAGTGCCCAGGCTCCTGTCTGATATACTGTAGGTTTAAAACACTTCAAAGCTCTCAGCCTGTCTTTCCCTGACCAATTCCTCCCCAGCAGAAAACAAACTTCCCTAAAGGGGCTCAAAATGGCCAGAGTCTAAATGAAGCTTATGATGCTTCCTGGGTCTTCTAGGTTACCTGTTCTAGAAAACTCATCTTCTGCAGGCGACACTTCCCACCCTCATCACATGGTGTCTGTGGTGCCCAGCCGTTACCCTCGCTGGTTCACACTTGGACACTTGGAATCACAGCAGTGTGAACTGGCCTCTACCATGCTGACTGCTGCCAAAGGTAAGTACAGGTAAACATTAGACTCCAGCATCCCCGCTGTGCCTACCCACCCAGGGTCCATAGTCTTCAAAAAAGAGAAGCCATGTGTTCTGTGGTGACAAGAGCAGTGGGAATCTTCATGTTGACGCTCGTGAGAAAGAGCGCCTGGGTTCAGACCAGAATTTTGCCTTAGTTACTAATTGTAAAATCCTGAACATATAGAATCAAATGATTTTTAAATGTTTAAAAAAATTACTTCATATTATGTGTCTGTGTGCATGAGTGTCCGTGTCCAATTAGGTCAGCAGTTTCTGATCTCCTTAGAGCTGGAGTTATAGGTGCTTTTGAGTCCTCTGACATGGGTGCTAGGAAATGACCTTGGGTCCTCTGCAAGAACAATATGTTCTCTTAACTAAAACCTTTCTCTCCAGCACCATAATCAAAATATTTTTGTTTATTATTATTTTTGCTTGTTTAGTTTTGTTTTTTGTTTTGTTTTTTGGTTTTTTTGTTTTTGTTTTTGTTTTTGAGACAGGGTTTCTCTGTGTAGCCCTGGCTGTTCTGGAACTCACTCTATAGACCAAACTGGCCTTGAACTCACTGAGATCTACCTGTCTCTACTGCCCAAGTGCTGGGATTAAAGGTGTGAACCAACTTCAGAATCAGATGATCATTAAGTTAACTTCTAAATGTAATCTTCCAGCTAATAAAGTCAGTTTATTTTTTCCAATCTCAGTTTCAAAATCTATAAAACGGAGATCATTGCCAGTGATCTGTCAGCTCCCAGGACCATTGGAAGATGTAATGAAGACTAAGACAGAGCTACAAATCTCCACACAAAATCAGATCATGTGGTTTTTCTACCACACTTGGTCTAAGGGTACAGTCCAGAATGACTATGACCCCTGTGAGCTCATGTTAGCTCCGTGGGCTTGGTCCCAAAGAGAAGTGAAGAGAAGCTCCAGACAAGGAGCTGCAGTAGACACCGCTGCCATGGACCCTGAGTATTCTGTACCAGGAAACTGCATGTTTAAGATGTCTTTTCATTTTTAATTAAAAATATCTTTGATGGGAGTGCCTTCAGAGACCAGAAGAGGCTCAGATCCCAGAGAGCTGTAATTACAAGCTTTGTAAGGTGTCTTAAATGGGCACTAGCATGCAAACTTGGGTCCTCATGACAGAGCAGCAAGATCAAGTACAGTCTTGACAATAACTGTGTTTCCAACCCAGTGTACATTCTTACATATATTACATGACACTAAGTGGGTTACCTGAGTTCTGTGTGATTGGAAGTAGGTATTACTTGAATTCTGCTCAGTATCATTTTATTCTACTTTTAAAAAAAACTGATATTCATCTCAAGTAGCTGCCATGGATGGATTATGGGAGAGCCTGACAAACCCAAGTGTAACTATGGGAAGTGAATGTAGTAGGTGTTTTCTCTCCAGGAATTGAGTCCAAAATAGGGATGGATAATAATAATGAGAATCAGGAGGACATGGATTCAGAGTGGCTGAAATGCCTATAAATTTACAGCAGCTTGGCTCTTGGATTAAAAATGAATTGAATCGGGGACTGGAGAGATGGCTCAGAGGTTAAGAGCATTGCTTGCTCTTCCAAAGGTCCTGAGTTCAATTCCCAGCAACCACATGGTGGCTCACAACCATCTGTAATGGGGTCTGGTGCCCTCTTCTGGCCTGCAGGCAGACACACAGACAGAATATTGTATACATAATAAATAAATAAATATTTTAAAAAAATGAATTGAATCTAGATGGGTAAAATCTGTCCAGAACTCCTCAGTTCCAGTAGTGGTGAAGGGAATATATGGTAGTGAAAGTGAGTCTTTCTTCCATGCTTGGAAGTTACCCAACATTATCAACAACAGCCACAGGCTGAAGGATGATGGGGTTGCTCTGCTCAGGAAGAGTACACATACTATGTGAAGCAGACACAAGGACCTTAAAGATGTAACTACTGTACTCTAGGCTGTATAAAACTCTAAGACTACAGTGTGATTAATCCTGAGCCTTAATTCTCATCCATATACATAGGTCACAATTCTTTGCCTTTGTTTTTGTCTGGGCCTTGGCTGTCCTGGAACTCACTCTGTAGACCAGGCTGGCTTGAAACTCACAGAGATCCCCTTGCCTCTACCTCCCAAGTGCTGGGATTAATATGTGTACCACCATAACTGGCATTTACAGTTCACTTCTTAATCTGCTATTTGAGCTCACAAAACCAAAGTACAGTCTTAGTTTTATGATTTAAATAGCCCTTAAGCAAGCAAAATTAACTGTTGCAGTGTGGAAGTAGTAAATGAAAAAACAAGCCATACACAGAGAAAGTACTTTAAAGGATTTATATCCCATGCATGCGCAGTGGTGGCTCGTGTCTTTAATCCCAGCACTCAAGAGGCAGAGGCAGTTGGATCTCTGTGAGTTTGAGGCCACCCTGGTCTACAGAGTGAGTTCCAGGACAGCCAGGGCTAACTCAGGGAAACCCTGTCAAAAAACAAAACAAACAAAAGACCTTATATCCCAAATATACAAAGAATTATTTTTGTTTATTTCTGGTTTTGTTTTTCAAGACACCGTTTCTCTGTTTAACAGCTCTGGCTTTCCTGGAATTCACTCTATAGACCAGGCTGGCCTCAAACTCGCAGAGATCTACCTGTCTGCCTCCTGAGTGCTGGGAATAAAGGTATGTGCCATCCACTACCCAGCACAAAGAATTCTTAAATTCAAAAGAAGCTAATGATGTCACCCAGTTGGTAGAGTATATGCCTAACATATTTGAAGTCCTGGGTTTGATCCCCAGCACTGCATAGACCAGGCATTGCAGTACACTTCTGCACTGCACTCAAGAGGAGAAGGAAAGGGGATCAGGTGTTCAAGGTCAAACTCTGCTACATAAATTCAAGAGACTCTGTCTCAAAAAAAAAATTGACAGTCCAATTTAAAAACTGAGTAAATGCCGGGCAGTGGTGGTGTACGCCTTTAATCCCAGCACTCAGGAGGCAGAGGCAGGCGGATCTCTGTGAGTTCGAGGCCAACCTGGTATACAGAGCAAGTTCCAGGACGGGCTCCAAAGCTACAGAGAAACCCTGTCTCAAAAAACCAAAAAAACAAAAAAACAAAAAAAAAAACAAAAAAAAAAAAAAAAACCACTAAGTAAATTCAGGAGTATTAGTACACCACACCTTTGATCCCAACACTCAGGAGGCAGAGGTAGGCAGATCTCTGAGTTTGAACCCAACCTGGTCTACAGAGTGAGTTCTGCAACAGCCAGAACTACATAGTGAGACCCTGTCTGTGTGTGTGTGTTTAATAAGCCATGTAGTTTTAACATATGTTCCAGTAGTCATGTTCCTAGGTATTATCCAAATGAGTCAAAAACATATACACACCCAAACCTGTACAGGGATATTTATATTCATCCTTACCCCCAAGGCAATCAAAATGTTCTTCAAAATGTTTGAAATGATAAACAAATTGTGACATGTCCATACAATGGAATGTTATCTAGCAATAAAACAAAATAAGTCCCACATTCAGGAACCTCAGTTGTGTATTTCACATTGCAAGAAGTCAGTCTGAAAATGCTACATGCTGTGTGATTCCAGTTGTTTGACGTTAAAGTTGCCAGAGTCCAGGAAAAATGGGGACAAGCTTGATGAGCATGGACTTTTTAGGGCCATGAAAGTAGCCAAAATGACATTGTAATTATGTACTTATCTAAACTGTGTAACACAGAGACAATGTACTTTAAAATATGAACTTCAGTTAATATTTCAATTGGGTCACCAAATATTATATGGGAAAGGTGAGAGGCTGGAGAGATGGTTCAGTGGAAGAGCACTGGCTGCTCTTCCAGAGGACCTGGGTTCAATTCTCAGCACCTATATGGCAGCTCACAACTTCTTGTAATTCCAGTTGCAGGGAGCTGGAGGTCTTCTTCTGGCTTCTGTGGGTACTAGGAACATACACAGTACACAGGTCTATATATGCAGGTAAAACACCAATATGCACAAAATAAAATAACTTTTAGAAAAATGATGGACAAGGTGAATTCATGTGACTGTCTAGGAACAGAAAGATCTACCAGAGAGTTTAGAAGAGGCACTTCAGCAGCCAGAAGGGATGGTAGCATTCAGAAGCATTGGGTGAAGTAGTGTAGTTCAACTAGTGCCTATTGTGAACAGTTTACTGTCTAGGGAACTCCCAAATGAACCGTGCCCCTACCTTTCTGCTGACTACAGGAGATACTCTGAGGCTACGAACTATTCTGGAAGCAATACAGAAGCACATCCATTCTTCCTCCCTCATCTTCAAACTGGCTCAAGATGCATTCAAGATTGCTACTCCCACAGACAGCAGCACAGACAGCACTCTTCTCAATGTGGCCCTGGAGCTGGGGTTACAGGTATGGGTATGAGACCACTGTCCCAGCTTTAGGTTTCTGGCCTAGTGACAGTTGGCAAAAGATATTCTAAGGGGACTGAACATGTCTGGTTCTTTCCGTCTTCCAGAGTAAAAGTTCTAAGGTAGACAGAAGGTAAGGACTCTATAAAATTGGCCTCCATTTGAAAGTTAAGGCCAGAAGTAGAATAGCTTTTGAACCATAGAGTTCCCATCTTCTCTACCTCCCTCTTCCTCCAAGTCAGTCAAGGTATAATATGAGTCTTATCTGTTGTCAGTCATGAGTGAGTGAAGCCTCATGTCTAGTGAGTGGGATGGGAAGAAATTAAACATATCCACACAGAGAGAAAGATCACTTTCAATAATGAAAAATATTTGTTGTTGGGCCGGAAATGCATCTCATTTGGTAGACTGCTTAACTACATGCAGCAAGACCCTGGGTTCAACCCCTAATATTTCATAAACTGGGCATGGAAGGATACATCTCTAAGTAGAGGCAGGACGAGATCAGTTCTGACTATGGAGTTCAAGATCATGGAGAGTAGCAGGCCAGCCTGAGCTACATGAGACCCTGTCTCAGGCAAACAAAAAATGTCCTTTGCAAGAAAGACTGAAGGAGAAGAGAGGAGGGGCTCCCAGTTGTTAGGCTTGGCCCCCTGGAAATGCCTCTTGTGTCTAGGTAATGCGGATGACCTTATCAACCCTTAACTGGAGGCGCCGAGAGATGGTTCGATGGTTGGTTACTTGTGCTACAGAAGTGGGTGAGTCTCCTACCTCCCTCTTTTCTCTTGGGGAGTTTCAAAGCCCGACTTTTTGTACAGAACAATGGATCCTTAGGGCTGTCATATTTGTGTTCCTGGCAGTGTGAGAAAGGATGTGCTGCTAGGAGACGGCCTCAGCTCAGCCTAAACCCTCACTGCTGGGACCATATCCTGATGCCAGCAACACTTTGATCCCCTGTGATTAGGGAAATGTCTGAGAGAATACATTTCAGCACCAATCCCCATGTACTCCCTTTGGAGGGAGTGGACCCATTGGTTTGGTCCCAGTCTCTCTATATGCTTCTGGAAAAATCACAGACAATTTGTAGGCTTGGGACCCATTCTAGAACCCAAAGCTCCAGCACAAGACTCTCCCTAGATGCCCTACTGTAGCTAGAGCCCCCAGGGAAACCTAGGGTCCTTCCTTGAGGCAGGCAAACCTGGGACTCTTTAGGTTCATCTTTATGAAGGGCTGAGGGTACAGCAGAGACCTTCAGCTCTCTGGTCTAGGAAGGAAGGGATGGGAGGAGACCCCAAACAGGGTTTGGCCATCTGGGATGCTCCCCTTGCCCTGGTTTGCCTCAGACCATCTCAAGGCTGCTGAGGAGGAGGGAGAACTCATCTCTGCAGACCAAGTTCAGACCCCAAATGGTAATCTGGGTAGACTTGGATTGAGATTGAGATTGAGTAGCCACTGCTAAGCTCAGGCTCTCCCTGACAGGTGTTCGGGCCCTGGTGAGCATCTTGCAGAGCTGGTACACCCTCTTCACCCCGACTGAGGCTACAAGTATTGTGGCTGCCACAGCCGTATCCCACACCACTATCCTGCGTCTCAGTCTTGACTACCCACAGCGGGAGGAACTGGCTAGCTGTGCTCGCACACTGGCCCTGCAGTGTGCTATGAAGGATCCGCAGAGCTGTGCCTTATCAGCTCTTACACTCTGCGAGAAAGACCACATTGCCTTTGAGGCAGCCTACCAGATTGCCATTGATGCTGCTGCTGGGGGCATGACTCATTCACAGCTGTTCACTATTGCCCGCTACATGGAGCTCCGTGGCTACCCGCTGCGTGCCTTCAAGCTGGCCTCGTTGGCCATGAGCCATCTTAACCTGGCCTACAACCAGGATACCCATCCAGCCATCAATGATGTGCTCTGGGCTTGTGCCCTTAGCCACTCTCTAGGCAAGAATGAACTGGCCGCTCTCATCCCCCTGGTGGTGAAGAGTGTGCACTGTGCCACAGTGCTTTCCGATATCCTGCGTCGGTGCACAGTGACTGCACCAGGCCTGGCGGGCATCCCAGGTCGCCGCAGCTCTGGAAAGCTCATGTCGACAGACAAAGCTCCACTGCGCCAGCTACTGGATGCCACCATCAATGCCTATATCAACACCACACACTCCCGTCTGACACACATCAGTCCCCGCCATTATGGAGAGTTCATTGAGTTTCTGAGCAAGGCTCGGGAGACCTTCCTACTGCCCCAGGATGGTCACTTGCAATTTGCCCAATTCATTGACAACCTCAAACAGATTTACAAAGGCAAGAAGAAGCTGATGCTGCTGGTTCGAGAGCGCTTTGGCTGAGAAAATGGATAGCTTGCTACCAGGGCAGCCTGGGCTCCCACATCAGGACATGGACTCTGAAACATCTGTCTACCCTGAGAGGACTCTGAGCACTTGTGGCTGAGCCAAAAGTACCACAGACCTAAGGATGAGTCCAACTTTAACCAGTATTCCTGCCTTGGCAAGCTTCTCACTCCAGTCCCACTGTTCCTGGAGGAGCTGGGCCCTGCAGACCGATCAGATGCCCCCACAACATGTCACCTCACGCCCCTATATCCTGCGTGTCCTGACCATTGGCACCTCTCCCTTGGCAAACACAGAACACTGTTCCGTCTCAGGGATTGCTTAACCAGAGAAACAGAAGCATTTATGGTACTGTAAATACTATAGTATATGTGTTGTCAAGCAGTGTAAAGCTGTAACTATTTATAATTCTGACTCTGATCTGATGAGCACTGAAAGTAGCTGTGGGTGGGATGATAGGCTTGTCTTCTGAGGAGACTCACAACCATTTCTCAGGTTTCCCATACAAGGTATATGCTACTGGTAGTGGGTAAGTGGGGGCAGCAGGGAGAAAAATGGACAGTTAAAATCCACATCTTGTCTGTGCAGAAACTGTGGCCTGCAGATAGGACAGCTAGCCTACTGTTGACAACTAATAGTCACTGAGGGGCAGAGGTCAAGACTGGGCTTAGACGTTTGTCTCACAAAGCTGTGACAACACTGAAGTTCCTGCCCCTGCCTCACACCCCAGGAGCCTGATGAACACCTGAATAACAAGTGCAGGGAGAAGATGAAGGTCTAGGAAGCCACTGAGCTCAGACAGTACATCTGCTCTGGTCACCTTTATGTTAGAGAATCTGCTTTCATCTCCAAATTTGTCCATGTGTATATCTGTATGGATAAGAACATGTCCAGTTACACATGTGCATGCCTGTCAGTTCTGTGTAAATTATGTGACATGCGCTAGACTGTGGGTTTGTTTGCTGTTTCATTTGCGTGTGTGTGTGCGCGCGTGATAATGCCTACTTAAGTGTTAACTGTACTCACGCCTCCATGTTTAGGGTCTATGTGTATCTAGGCACACACGGGTACCTGTGTATAAACATATTTGTGTCTGACTGTATGCCTGCTGACCATGATATGTCTTTACGTGAATGATCTCTACATGTAGTCTGTCAGTGTCTTCATGCTTGGGGATCTGCATGAGTGTGCCTTCTTCCTGCCAGTTCTCTCTTGCCCATTCCTTAGTCTCTTGCTAGCTGAACATCATTACTCATCTCTGTGCCTCCTCTATTTACCTTCTCTCAGCAAACAAGTTTCTAAGCACTTAGTGTCCCTCTGCTGTTAAGATTAGCCACTCTCATCCCACTGTTCTCTTCTTAAAAACTTGTTTTCTTCCTCCTACTCTACCTCAAACTTCCTCTGCCTGCTTCCATCCTAATTCCATTGGTAGCTAATGTGGAGGCTGAGGTTGGTATTCCTTTAGTGTTGCCCTTCCTAACTTCTAATCCTAGTGGGTAACCCCCATCAGCCCATGCTGACCTCCAGTGTGTCACGTTCCTACTACTTCATGACCCCTATGCCTAGCCTGAAATTACAGGAGATAGCAAGGGCATTCAGAATCCTTTGGATACAGTGTCTTGAGTGTTTACTGTTTTGTCTTAGTTCCTGAGTTGGGTGGGGTTTGATAGGCAAGGGTGGTGTAGCTAGAGTGCAAACTAAGGACCTTTCTGTCTGTTTTACTTTATTTTTCTTTGGAAAACTACATGTTATCTTTTTTATTCCAAACTGACCAGTAAGTTGTATTTGCTGTTCGTGGCTACTAAAGTGTTACTGTCCAGCCAAGGGCCCCTACACTGTCTCAGCCCAATGGGTTGGCAAAAAAAAAAAAAAAGGAAAAGCCACTCCCATTTCTGTATCATGATTGCCCTTTTTTAGCAAGTATGTGAACTCAGTGCTTTTCTATGAATAAATCATGGATCACAGAAAAGATCATTTTTCTAAAGCAGAAAATTGTGTTCTATCAATAAATGAGGCCCGTCTCTCCTTTGATGGGACAGGGGTCTGGTTGGGCCTAGAGATGTACAGAAATGGACAAATGAAAGAGTCCTTACATCACACCCATCTCCATGGCTCTAAGGCCTCAGAACCTTGTCCCAGGAATCAAACAGTCACGTCCTAATGTCACATGATAAGCAGGATCCCAAGATTCTGAGACAGTCAGTGGGCATGCTCAAAAAATAACACACAGTGAGCTGAAGTGTCAGAGGATCTTTTGGCTTCCGAGACCATCATACCATGGCTCCAGTCCTAAGCAACCTAGCTGTGGATCTTTATACTCTCCCATACTGTGGTATCAAAGCTAAAGTATCCTTAACTCCTGTCTACCCAGACTCCATCTTCCCCTCCTGAACTCCAAAGTGTTTTGGCCACTTTCGTGCCCCCCCCTTTTTTTGTCTATGTATGCCATAGCCCCAACTACCTGGAAAGGTGTACCAAATATCACGTCACTCTTGGGCTTGGGTGGCTGACAGCATGATGGTGTTAATGCTGTAGGGCATGTCACTGACACTTGAGCCCTGAGACTTGTGAAAGAAGATGCAAAGGAGGCTTAACGAAAATGAACAAAGCAGCCTGGCCTGCTGTGACACACATCTTTAATCCCAGCACTTGAAAGACAAAGGTAGGTGGATCTCTGAGTTTTGAGGCCAACCTGGTCTACATAGTTTGTGTGTGTGTGTGTGTATGTGTGTAAGAGGAAGGGAAGGGGACTGAGGATAAGATCATAAACATTTACAGACAAAGGGACATGTTAGACTCCAGCTCTGGAAGTTTTATTCTCCTGGAAACAACCCGTGTTGGTGGTCCTTGAGCGGGAAGGCAAGGCACATACTTAATTCTGTCGAAGCAGACGCGAATGTTTGTGCACAGCATCCACAAAGGCTCCTACATGTTCCGGGTCCATGTCAGGGTAAAGCCCGTGCCCTAGGTTGGCAATGTAGCGTTGTGGCCCAAATTCATCCAGCATCTGCTGCACCAGTCGACCAATCTCTTCCTAGAGGACCAAAAGGGCACTGTCTAGGAGGTCAGCAAGGCTGTAGCCTCCCTGTACATGACAGTAGTGCACACACATGCAGGAGTGCTTCCACAGTGTTACTGTCATTAATTTACCAAAACTTATCAGGTACCTCACATGCATCAGACATTAAGAACATACAAATGAGGGGGCCTGGGAGATGGCTCAGCAGGTAGGGTGCTGGCTAGCAACCCTGATGACATGAGTTCAATTCCTGGGACCCACATAAAGGTAGAGGAAGATAACTGACTCTACAATGTTGTCCTCTAGCCTCTACATGGGCACCATGACATACATATACCCAAACACACAATAATAATAAATAAGTTTACCAGAAACATACAAATGAGAGCTATCCATAATCTTAAAACTTTAGGAGGTGGAGGCAGGAAGATGAGTCCAAAGCCAACCTCACTCAGTTACACAGTGAGTTTGAGGCCAGCCTGGGCTACATGAGACTCTGTCTCAAAAAGGGAAGGTGTGGTAGCCTAACAAGCACAAGGCTCTCACTCCTCTGCTCCAAGGAGTGAGAGGAGGGGACAGACAACAGCCACAAAAACTAAATTTTTTTCATTTCCTGCTTTCTTAGGTGTGTATAGGATAGAGGAGAGGAAAAACAGATATAATAAAACCATACCCCTGTGATCACTCAACCATTGTACAGTGCACAGAGAAAACCTTGTACATACATGCTGGGCCCAGTAATTACCTCAGATGCATACAAGGCACAAGGATCCAGATTCCCCTGCAAGGTCACCATCTTCCCCACACGCTCCCTGGAAACAGAGCCATTGCCACATCCTCGTCACTGCACATTTGGGGATGGTACCCCTCTACCTCAGCCTCTAGTGCCCACTCCTCCATCACTCACCGGGCTTTCTTTGGTGCCACTGTCCAGTCAAGTCCAACTACCTCATAGCCAGCCTGGGCCAGCTCTTCCAGGGCAAAATGGCCATCCTTAGCAAAGATGATCTGGAGAAAAGAGCAGAGCTCTAACACTAAGCCTTGCTGTGCCTGCTGCCTTTCTTGGCTGTGCTTCTGCTACCCTCCAGTGGTGACTTCAGTCCATGCAGGACTTAGCCCTGAAAGTGCTTCATTAAACCTGCCCCAGTCCTCACCATGGGCACTGGTGCCAGACCTGCCTCCTGCAGCCCAGCCTTCACTCGCTTGGCCACATCACGGATGTAGGGCAGTGCAAACTTGCCGAAGAGCTCTGGGCCAAGATGTCCTGCATGGGACTCAAAGAGCTGCAATGCCTATAGATGGATGATAAGAAAAGTGAATGCACAACACACAAAGAGGAAGTACCTCTGGCCCACATACAGACTATGCCATAATTGTCCCTGGGTGACATAATTATAAACCCTGATCTATTCTGAGGCTAGGAGCTTGGTGTTATTCAAAAAGTTTTGCCCTGAAAAAAAGAAGCCAGGTGGTGGTGGCACATGCCTTTAATCCCAGCATTTAGGAGGCAAATGCAGGCAAGAGCTCTGCGTTTAAGGCCAGCCTGGTCTACAGAGTGACTTCTGGTATCTCCAGGACTACACAGAGAAACCCTGTCTCAAAAAATAAAAAAGAAAAAAAAAGCGAGGCAGTGGTAGCAGACACCTTTAATCCCAGCACTTGGGAGGCAGAGACAGAAGAAGAAGCAGTTTTGCCTTCTCCAGATCCTAACAGCAGCTTCAATCTCCAAATACTCAGACCTTTAAGTCCTGCTGACCGTTTCAGGAAGGGCTTAAAATCTAAGTGGTTCTCAACCTGTGGGTCACGGCCCCTTTGAGGCTAAATGACCCTTTCTTTTGACAGGGGTCCCATATCAGATGATGATGATTCATAACACTAAGAAATTTTATAGCTATGAAGCAAAAAATTTTAAGGTTGGGGAGGGTCACCCTAACATGAACTGTACTAAAAGGTCACAGCATTAAGAAGACTGAGAACCACTTAGATACTGCAGTCAGATCACTGGAGGAAAAGTAAGACCCCCTGCTTTCTCCACTTTAGGATGCCATTGCTTTGGGTCCTGACAGACCAAGCTGCAGCCTACTTGTCCCTTGAGACTCACCTGAGCACCAGCAGCCACTTGTCCTATTAGATACGGGACCAGAGCATCAGTGAGTATGCCAAGCAGCTTGTGACTGGCCTGCGGTCTTTGGTACAGCCATCGCTTGGCCTGAGCCATGGTGCTTGAACTGCCACCCTCCACCATGTATGTCATCAGGGTCCACTGCAGAAGGGCACAAAGATGGCACAGCATAGAGTCCCTTGTCGCTACCAGACCTGCCAGGATGACCTCTTCATGCTCCAGCCCATGCCCTGTACAGAATTACCGGAGCACCAGCAAAGCCAATTAGTGGCACACGTCCAGCCAGCTGTTGTCGAGTAAGGGTGATGGCTTGAAACACATAGCCCAACTCCTTGGCCACTGCTGCTGGATCCCGTAGGCGTTCTAGGTCCCGCTCTTCTCTTAATGGCTCTGGGAAGCTGGGTCCTTTGCCAGGTACCATGGTCACCTCCATGCCCAGTGCCTTAAGGAGGATAAAATATCTGGGTTCATAACCTGGAACTGCAGAGGGAAGGGTTGGTTCAACCCATGTGATAAGGAAAGAAAAGAATAAAAACCCTGGCAAACTCCATTCCTTAGTGTTTTCCTCTACCAGTTATGTACTTATCTTGAAACTGACAAGACAGATTTCCAAGGAGTGCTTTCCTTTTCTTTTTTTTTTTTAGTCACCATCATGATCAGGATTGAGTACCTGGGGTACAACAAGGATGTCAGAGAAGATGATGGCAGCATCTAGAGGGAACCTTTTCAGTGGCTGTAGGGAATAACAAAGAGGTTAGAGAGGCGGCACAGTGAGTTCATGAATCCCACCCGCACTTGTGGGGCCCTCACCTGCAGAGTCAGTTCACAACAAGCCTCAGGAGAGCGGCAGGTGCTGAAGAAGTCCTGGCCCGCCCTAGTTTCCCTAAACTCTGAGAGAGGAGAGGGAAGACAGGACTCAACCATGAGGTCTTCCAAAGTTATCATGGTCCCCTGAAGAACTTCGCCTTCTAGAATTTCCGGTTTTATCTAGACCATAGCTTTGCCCCTGACCTGGTAAGTATCGGCCTGCTTGTCGCATGCACCAAACGGGAGTGTAGTCTGTCTCCTCTCCCCATGCCGCTCTCAGGAACGTGTCATTCTTCAGCTCAGGAAAATTCTGGCGTCTGGAGATCAGGTGGAGGGTAGGAGTAAATGTCATTAAGCTAGACTGGGGTTTGGGGAAGGCGGGTTCAGTCAGGCACCGCTATCTGCCGCCTCCAGGTCCGCTAGCAAACCATGGCTCCCCACCCATTCTGCCTCCTATCAGTTGGCGCACAAGACCAGGAGGGGGGCCCCACTGGCGCCTCTCTCCTACACGTTTGTCCAGCTTTCCCAAACTGGAGGGATTGGGGCGGAGGACGTGGAATGAAAATCCAGTAAGGAGAGTTTGGGGAAAAGAAGTTAATCTCGATGACCGGGCCGCGAGTGGCCTGATTGTGAAGCAGAGCGATCCCCCAAACCGAGAGCGAGGATCAGAGTTGATGGTCCCAGGTGCTAGTTAAAAGTTCTGAGTCACCTCGGGACGCAGTCCCGTAAGGTAATCCCTGGAATGGAGATGGGGGAGACGGGCGGGGAGGCGGGGCAGAGAGCGGGGAAGGTTCTGTTCCACGACTAGAAGATTTGGAATCTCAGTGACTTGGGTTCGTACTTGGAGAGTGGAGCGCTCCAGAAAATAAGAGTTTAAGGACATAGCCCCTGAACTGGAAGACCGGAATCAGAAAGCAAGGTAGCCACAGCGCGTGCAGCAGAAGACTCACCCCAGCCCGTTCGCCTCCATGGTAAACAGTAACTGAGCAGTCGCCGGTCACCGCTTTAATCTGAATCTCCGCC